CGACTCCTCGCGGGGAGGACGGAAGCAGAGGCGGGGGCCCCACAGATACGAGGTGTGCTCAGATTTTAGGAAGCTGTTACAGTAAAAGACACACTGCCGTCACCTCACTCGGAATGCGTCCTCTCCCTTGAACACACTTGGGCCGTTGTCCTCCGCCACTTTGTGAAGCAGCTCTGGAAGTCCTCTTTCCCATCTCTAGCTGCTCTGCCCTGGCTGCCTCAATGTCTGACTCATTCAAAACGTTTACCTTTTGTGGCCATTTTGACTTTGAGGAAGAGCCAGAAGTTGCATGGTGCTGGACCCTGGGAATAAAGTGGATAAAGATACACCATATTGGTTTTTGCTTTGTTTTGTTTTGTTTTTTCGAAGCTGCCTCTGGTTGGCTGACAGCAGCAGCAGTCACTTTTTTTTTTTTTTAAACCGGGGGTCGAAGTCAGGACCTCTGGCTTTGGAGGCAGGCGCTGTGCCACTGAGCTATTCACTGTAGTTTTGATCACATCTCTAAAAGACAGGAAAGAGGACCTCTGGGACTGCTTTAGAGAGTGGCAGGAGGGAGGGGATGTGTGTTAGAAATGAGGCGGGGGCTGCTTAGAGGGGCGTTGATGGCACTGTGTCTTCTGATGTAATACTTTAAACAATTTAAACATTTAAAATTTTAAAATTTAAACATTCAGGCAGGGGATGTAGCTCAGTGGTGCCACCTCCTGCCTCACAAGCCGGAGGTCATGAATTTGATCCCCGCCTACCAAAAAAAAAAAAAAAAAAAAAAATTCACTGTGTTTTTTGTTCACCCTTTGCTTGTATACTAATATGAGTTCTGGAAACCTGTGTATATGTCTTGAAAGTAGGATGCAGCTTTGATTGAAGGGCTTGGGGACACAGTGGGATTTAGATAAGCACAGACCAGGAAGAACTGAGCATTGGCAGCTGGCAAGTGTCAAAACTCCGACCACACAGTCAAGGCGCCTCTCTCTGGTAGATGGTCTGGTGTCTTGTCTCCCAGGTGCCCGAACTCTCTCAAATAGTATTTATGAAAGAGAGAATAGCTCTCAAGGGAATCATAACCCCCTCTTTGTGGTTTTCTTTTCATTGCTTTGTTTTGGTTTTTTGAGACAGGGTCTCACTATGTAGTTGAGACTGACCTGGAACTCACTAGGTAGCCCTGGCTGGTCTTGAACTCACAGCATCCTCCTGAGTGCTGGGATTACAGGAGTGCTGGGATTACCGGCTGAACCCCCTCTTTGTGCAAACAGGGAAGCTGAGGCTTCAGAAGCAGAGGTGAGTTGCCTGAAAGTCCACAGCATGTGAATGACAGACCAGGAGTACCCCCAAGGGTCCTTCCTCTTTCCGAATTCTATCCAGGGAGTGATTAGTTATGGACTGAGTGTGGTGTGTATAGTCGTGAGGGTTTGCTGTGTTGTCATAGGAAACGCCAAGGGTGTTAATTAACACCAATGAGAAGCCCAATTCTATAATTCTTCATCTCTAAGACAGGAAGGAAATGGATTCCTCAGCAGCAGTAGCCCCCTGTGGTGGGGAACAACCCTGGCCACAGGAGGAGCTGGGAAAGGGAGAATCCTGGGGAGACTGCCCTGAGCCTGAGGTCCCGTTCCAAAGAACTATCAGGGCACTTAGAGCCCCTTTAGGGTGAATCCAGAGGTTCTTTCTGGCAAGTACTCAACAGTCCCATGGTCTTAGGTTCAAATCCTGTCCCCGTAGCTTACTGATCACAAGGTGGAGCAGTTTAAAACCTCTCTGAGACTCATTCTCCTTCTGGAAAGTGAAAACTGACATCTTGGGCTCACCTCAGGAGTTTGGAGAGGACAGCAGATGAGATACTTGTGTGTGCTGTGTCGTACCCACTGGGGAGGGGGCCACTGACTCAAAGGGGTCCCTGACGTCTCTGACGAGGTCCTCCTCTGAGAGGTTTGGTGACCCTTCTGTCCTTGACACCCCCCCTTTTCCTTCCTCCCTGACCCCACCACTCAGCCGAGAACATCTCTGTCACGGTGGCCTCTGATGCCTGCCCTGAAGGACTTGGGCCAGCGCCCTCCCTTCACCAGGCCATCCCCAGAGCCAGGGCCAGATGCCCAGGGAGCCAGGCCTTGGCGGTGTGAATGTGGAAAGGTGCTAGGTGGCCTTCACCTCCAGCTTATTCATTCAATGAGCTCTCAGAATGTCCACCGAGGGACGTTGGAGAGGCAAGTCAAAGTCCATGATGCCCCTCCCTGCCCTGTGGGCCTCATGTTGGGGGAGGTACAGGGACCGGTGGCCCCCAGTCAGAGATAGGAACCTGGAAGAAAATTCATCTGCAGGAAGTTCTGTGAAGGAACTACCATCATGCAGTTATCAGGCATTAGGGGACCCTGGGTGCCTTCAGCGAGTGTTAGGGATAAGCACCATCTGCGAGGAGAAGACAGACAGCTGGGGCGGCGGGACAGTCAGGTGTCAGGTGCAGGGGCCGCGAGGCCGTGTGGTGACTGGGCAGAGGGCTGAGAGGAGAGTGCACAGGATGGCAGGGGTCAGATGCTGTGAGGTCTTGCAGGCCAGAGTGAGGAGCTGAGATTTTAATGGGAGGGAGCAGAGGAAGGCGACCGCTCGGGCCTGAGGGTGAGCAGAGC